CTTGCCACTCCAACAAGAGGTCAGGTGAGCTACTGCAGGCCCACAGCCTTCTGTGCGAATCGTAAAGTGAGCCTGTGTCCACAAAGAGCCTTGCTAAGCGCGGGACAGATTCCCAATCCTCTCCTCTGACACTGAAGTCCTGGCTCCGAAAAGTTCCCAGAGGTGAAAGGCTGCAGGAAGTTCACTCTGTGTCTGGAGCTGAGAGACCCGGATTTAAATCTGGGATCGGGTACCCTGGGTGGGGTTTTTCCTTATGTCATTGGTGCTTTAATACTAGATATCCCGCCAAAACCAGTGTGGCTAAGTGGCCTGCAGACGCAAGGGTCCCAGGTTCGATTCCAGCCAAGGGGGGCGTGCAGGAGGCAGCTGATCGATGTTTCTGTCTCATCGATGTTTCTAATTCTCTCTCCCTCTCTCTTCCTCTCTGTGAAAATCGATAAAATATATATATATGTTTAAAATGCTAGATATTCCTGCGAGGACTGAGAAGGATGTTCAAAGAGTGCTCATGATTAGTCATTAACTTATTAAAATGAAACAGCCATTACGCTCTGCGGGCCACTCCCCCTGCCTCTTCAGGGGGGTCAAAGGGCACCTCCATTCTGACTCCTAAGTGCACAGACTCTTCCCAGTTCCCCATGTTGCTGCTTTGGATCTAACTGGGTGTTTACACGCTGTTTGGTGGCGATGCAAGAACATCAATCGGCTGGAGGAGGAGAGTCAGCAAATGGGATGCAGTTGTGTGCTCGGCCTTTTTATAGTTTGTTCACTAACCCTTACTGCGGACAGTTTTCCATGGATGGTGTTTTCAATTAGCAATAACCGCCCCGTGGATAAACCTCATTGGCTACAATGCTGCTGCTGCTCAAAGCTCCCGCTGATTTCTAAAGAGAGTGGAAGGGAGGGGGAGAGACACATCAACTGGTTGCCTCCCCAAGGCACCCCAACCTGGGGCTGGGGATCCCTGCAACCAAGATGTATGCCCTTGGCCAGAATGGAACCCAGGACCCTTTGGTCCACCGGCTGACACTGAGTGGACCTCTGAGCCAAATGGCTAAGCTGCACTTGACTTTTAACTTCACATTCTTTGAAAAAAGGAATCAAACTGATCTATGATGCTTTCAAATGATCACGATGATGACCTGCAGTGAGAGACATATTTTTATGTTCTGATCCAGTACACACACACACACACACACACACACACACACACACTCACACACTCACACTCACATGTAACTAAAGCATGTGCCGTGATCGGGAACTGAACTGTTCATAGGTCCACACACAACCACTGAGCCACGTCAGCCAGGCTCTTGGGCCAGCTCTGAGAGTCCAGGCCTCATCTAGCAGGCCAGCTGCCTGGAGCCACTCGTGTTTGGGGCGTCGCTGGTGAGTAGCAATATCCCCAGCTCTCCCCTGGGGATATGGGAGGACCAGCTTTCCCTGCCTTGGTGAGGTTGTGTGGCTGTGTGACAACTGGGCCAATCGAACGTGAGTCACATCGGTGGAAGCATTGCAGAGTTACACCTGCTTCTGTGGGGGCGGGGGGAGGCAAGCCCTCGGGCCCAGGTTGGGGTAACTGTGTCCTAAGCCGGCAGCTCCTTCATTGGCCGGGAATCCTAAGTGCCTCCAATAAGCAGAGCCTCCTCAGAAGCTCACGTTGCTGAAGCATGAAATAGCCATCTGGGAGCCACTGAAGACTGGGGGCTGTTTGTTACGCAGCATAACATGGTCCATCCTGACAGGTACATGTCGTTTAGGCCATAGCACCTCACATTTCCCAAAGTGCTCCTAGTGAGCCAGTGATGGGCTGGGGAACTCCAGGAACTCAAAACCGGGAACCCCCCCCCCTTCTCTCAGAAGAGCTCACACTGGGCACAAGTCCCCGGGAACTCGTTCCAGGCAACTGGGGATCTGTCTGACGGTAAGCAACACCCACGTCCCAGAACCCTTCTGGGCTACGTAGCTTTAGAAAAATCTGTCTCCCAGAGGCTTTTCAGTGTTGCTTACTTGTTCAAAACCTTCCAGCCAAACAAATGTTCCCCAAAAACTGGCCCCCTAGCCGCCCCCCTCCCCCGGGCAGAACTGGAGCGGCCTGTGGAGGCCGGCTCTCAGGAACCCACGCCAAGCGCAAGACAGGGCATCCCTCCCAAGGCGGGTCTGGCTCCTCGGGAACGCAGGCTGCTGCTGCTGTGGCTGCCATGGTTACAGAAAGAGCTGGTCTCCAGGATTCTCAGAATCCTCGCTCCGTTACCATGGCCACCACACACAGTTTGAACAAACAATTCTGACCTCATCTGGGTCTCACATTTGGAAAGTAAGCCATTTGGGAAATGGTTGCATTTGGGAACATTCAAATCAACCGAGGGACTGACAATTTTGAAGCATTGCAATCAAATGGACACAAGCCACACGCTAGGAACCTGTTTTCCACCCACAGGAAAAGAAATGGCTGCTTCAAAAATCATCCTGCACGCCCAGCGTGTATCAACCTAGGAACCAGGAGGTCGTGGTTCGATTCCCAGTCAGGGCACAGGCCTGGGTTGTGGGCTCCATCCCCAGTAGCGGGCATGCAGGAGGCAGCCGGTCCATGATTCTCTCATCATGGATGTTTCTCTCTCTTTCTCCCTCTCCCTTTCTCTTTGAAATCAATACAAATGTATTTTTTTAATCTTTTAGACCACTGTTGAGGTTTCAATATACAGTATAGTTTAAATAATAGTATTGTATTGATGACAGTTCCTGGTTTTGATATAATGGTATTGTGGATGAGAAAATGTCCTTGACTCAGGCAATACATCTGAGGTATTTAGGGATCAAGGATCGTGATGTTTGCAACTAACTCAAAGTGTTAGTAAAAAAAAAATAATAATAGCCCTGCCCTGACTGGTTTGGCTCAGTGGACAGAGCATCAGCCTGTTGAACTGAAGGGTCCCAGGTTCTTTTTGGATCAAGGGCACATGCTTGGGTTGCCGGCTCAGTCCCCAGTGTGGGGTGTGCAGGAGGCAGCTGATCCATGATTCTCTCTTATTATTGATGTTTCTCTCTCTCTCCCCCTCCTTCTCTGAAATCAATAAAAATATTTTTTAAAAGAAATAATAACATGGAGAGAGGAAGGGAAAGCAAATATAGTAAAATACTATCAACTGGAAAGCCTAGGCCGGTGGTCAGCAAACTGCGGCTCGTGAGCCACATGCGGCTCTTTGGCCCCTTGAGTGTGGCTTTTCCACAAAATACCACGGCCTGGGCGAGTCTATTTTGAAGAGGTAGCATTAGGAGAAGTTTAAGTTTAAAAATGTGGCTCTCAAAGGAAATCTCAATCGCTGTCCTGCTGATATTTGGCTCTGTGGACTGATGAGTTTGCCAACCACTGGCCTAGGCCAAAGTGTTCATTCCACTTTTCTTGCTGCTTTTCTGTGGGTTTGAGATTACTCCAGATGAGAGGGGTTTTTTAATCACACATGCTCCAGATTCGTGACTTTCAAACCTGTTTAATGCTAGCTCACAATAAACATAGATTGTGTTAAGCACTCCAGACACAAACATACATAATCTGAACAAACGCATACAAATTTAACAAAAAGGCTCACAAACCAAAACTTCCTCTTATAACAGACACGTGATGCTCTGTGACTTGGCGTTCCGTCTTGGTTTTGAAATGTTAGTATGAGCCATTCAATTGGGGTGAGGAACACAAGGGTCACACCTGTCTATACATGCCCGCCCCCCTCCCCCCACTGGTGCTGTCCGCGGCATTGCTAACATGTAACATGACCTGGAGGCCCAAAGTACTTCACCGTGAAGAACGGACGCTCCAGCCAGCCCGTGTGGCTCAGTGGCTGAACCTCAACCCATGAACCAGGAGGTCACGGTTCGATTCCTGGTCAGGGCACAGGCCCGGGTTGCAGGCTCCATCCTCAGTGGGGGGCATGCAGGAGGCAGCTGATCAGTGATTCTCTCTCTTTTCAGAGATGAAGGGAGAGAAAGAGAAGGAGGAAGAGGGGAGAGAAGGGGAGGGGAGAGGGAGGGGACGGGACGGGAGGGGACGGGAGAAGAGAGAGATCCATTGATGTGAGATCAAGACATCTATCAGCTGCATCCGCACACCCCCTACAGGAATCAATCCCAAAATGCTTCAGTGCAAGGAGGACCCCCAACCAACCCAACCAAAGGAGCTAGGCGAGCTAGCGCTGGCCCTTTGCTTTCACCGCCTCCTAACACATGTCCAACTCCAGGAACCACCACCCCCTGGGTCTCAGTCCTCCTCCCACCCCCCTTCTCTCCTGTCCTGTCCATCTTCTGGACCCTGGCGTCCCCAGGCCCAGAGGGGAGAGGCTTGTGGCAGGAAACACAGGGACTGAGTCTCATGGGTTGCTCCCCTGGAACTGGCACCGTTCTTAATGCTTAGCCAGGGGCTGGCTCTAACTCGGTCCGTTTCTTGGAAGAGGAGGGATTGGGGAGGGAAGGAGGTGGCGCTCCAGGACCCTGCAAGCTTCCAATTCCTAGCCTTTAGGCGGAAGGGTCCATGTTCATTCTTTTTTTCTTTTTCTTTTTAAAATATATTTTATTGACTTTTTTACAGAGAGGAAGAGAGAGGAATAGAGAGTTAGAAACATCAATGAGAGAGAATCACCGATCAGCTGCCTCCTGCACAATTCCTACTGGGGATGTGCCCACAACCTGGGTACATGCCCCTGACCGGAACTGAACCTGGGACCCTTCAGTCTGCAGGCCGACCTCTATCCACTGAGCCAAACTGGTGAGGGCCCATGTTCATTCTTGCTCCTCTTTGCCAATCAATGCCCACGTGACATGAACAGAAACCCATGCCCGCCCCAAATCCCAGATGCCCTTTCCAGGGTTGTCTTCTCCCGGGAGCCATCTCTAGAGGCAAACTTCTCCCTCCTGTTCCCCTGTCCCTGACCACGAACACCTTCAGGCCCAATTAAGTGAATGACCCGCCACCGGCCAGGCAGAGTGGGCCGCGGAGAGGCAGGTCAGTGTGCCTGGAGGACAAACAGCACAGCACGTGCCGGGCCGCGCTGAGCAGGACGCCGGCGCCCAGGAGAAACGGGGTGCTGTGGCCTGAGCTCCCCAGCGCCCCCGAGGGGAGGGCCAGCGAGGCATTGCCCGGCCCCGCGGTGGCGTTGGCCGCCTCCCCCGCCGGGGCCCTGGGGGCCAGCAGCCTGGAGAGGAGGCTGCTGAGCCTGCTCGCGGTGGTGGCCGCGGGCTCCGGGGATGGGCCCGGGCTGGACGCGCTGCCATTTAACTCCTCGGGGTCCACGCACAGGCCGTCGGGGGCGCGCCCGAAGGCCACGTGGCTGAGGTCCAGGCCGGCCACGGAGCCCGGGGACGCGCAGGGCACCTCGGCCGCGTGGCCGGAGCTGTCCATCCAGTCGCGCAGCCAGCGCAGGCCGCAGTCGCAGCGCCACGGGTTGCGGAAGAGGAAGAGGCGGCCCAGGAAGAAGCCGGGCTGGAAGGCGGCCCAGGCGAGCGCCGTGAGGCGGTTGCCGTTGAGGTGCAGGGCCAGGAGGCCCGACAGGTTCTGGAAGGCGCCGTCCTCCACGAAGGCGATGGCGTTGCGGTCCAGGTAGAGCAGCTCCAGCTCGGCCAGGTCGGCGAACCAGGCGCGCGCCACGCGGCCCAGCGCGTTGCCGCCCAGGTGCAGGGCGCGCAGGCGGCCCAGGCCGCGGAAGGCTCCGGCGGGCAGCGCGGCCAGGCGGTTGTCGCCGAGCAGCAGGTGCTCCAGCGCCGCGCAGTCGCGGAAGGCGCCGGCGTGCACGGCGCGCACGCGGTTGGCCTGCAGGCTGAGCGCGCGCAGGCGGCCCAGGCCCCGCAGCGAGCCCGCGGCCACCGCCTCCACGCGGCCGCGCTCCAGGCGCGCGTGCGTCAGGTTGGCCAGGCCGCGCAGGGCGCCGGGCACGCGGCGGAACAGGTTGGCGGCGGCCGCCAGCTCGCGCAGGCCGGGCAGGCCGGCCAGCAGGCGCTCGGGCAGCGCCAGCAGGCGGCAGGCCGCCAGGTCCAGGCGGCGCAGGCGGCCCAGCGCGGCGAAGGTGCGCGCGTGCAGGTAGCGCAGCGCCCCGTTGTGCGCCAGGCGCAGCTCGGCCAGGCGGCCCAGGCCGCGGAAGGCGCCGGGCGTGATGAAGGTCAGGTTGTTGTGGCGCAGCGACAGGCGGCGCAGCGCGGGCAGCGTCCCGAAGGCGCGCTCGCCCAGCAGCCGCAGGCCGTTGCGGTCCAGGTCGATGGAGGTGGCCGCGCACGGGAACTCGGGCGGCACCCGCAGCAGGCCGGCGCGGTCGCAGCGCACCCAGCAGCCGCGCTCCCCGGGGCCTGGGCCGCAGGAGCAGGCGGCCGGGCAACCCCGCGCGCAGGCCTCCGGGGCCCAGGCGCCCGCCCGGCTCAGCATCAGCGCTGGGGGGGTGGGGGGAAAGAGAAAAGACAGAAGAAGTGATCGTCAACCGGAGGTGAAATCCTACCTGTCTGCCTGGCAGCCCGCCACCAAGTCCTCATCCCTCCTGGATGGTCCAAATGGTCTCTCAGCCTCCCAGGCCCTAGACAGGGTTTCCCACTCCTTTGCGGCCCAATTATTATTATTTTTAATATACTAGAGGCTCAGTGCAGGAATTCATGCACAGGTGGAGTCTGGCTGATGGGGGAGGGGATCGGAGGAGGAAACTTGGGAAATTGGCCAGTTCCACGCCCCCCCAATTGAGGAGGTAATTTACATATTAGGCTTTTATTATATAGGATTGATTTCAGAGAGGAAGGGAGAGGGAGAGGGAGAGAAATATCCATGATGAGAGAGAATCATGGATCAGCTGCCTCCTGCACACTGACTACTGGGGATTGAGTCCACAACCCAGGCCTGTGCCCTGACCAGGAATCAAACCATTACCTCCCGTTCATGGACCAATGCTCAACCACTGAGCCACACCAGCCAGTACTTCAATATTCTTGTTGCAGAAGCTTGACTTGGTTTTTCCCTGTCCCTAAGAACTGTGAACTAGACACCAAGCTCAGGGTTAAGTTCTTGGACCCTGAGCTGAGCTTGGCTGTGACAGGGCAGCTGCTGACTGGAGAGATACCCTATTGCACAGACGAGGCCAAGAATGTAACCTTAAGTCCAGGTGTCAGCTGGACCCAGACAGAACTTTTTCTGTCGACGCCTCCAACTGGGTCAAGCAGAAGGGATCAGGTTTCTTTAAGCATCCTCCATGCCATTCTCTCTCCTCCCGGACTGACAGGAGTGCACGCTCACCCCTGGGACTCGCGTTTCTGCGCCCAGCAGCCCGCACTGGTCCAGGGCACAGTATGGCTCAGGCAATGTCTGCAGGATTCAGTGGCATTGAGGCCCTCCACAGTAATGATTCCTGCTGCAGGGTGTCATTTTTTTTTTTTTTAATACTCTTGCCTAAACTGGTTTGGCTCAAGGGATAGAGCTTCGGCCTGCGGACTGAAAGGTCCCGGGTTTGATTCCGGTCAAGGGCATGTACCTTGGTTGCAGGCACATCCCCAGTAGGGGTTGTGCAAGAGGCAGCTGATCAATGATTCTCTGTCATCGATGTTTCTAACTCTCTATCCCTCTCTCTTCCCCTCTGTGAAAAATCAATAAAAAAAAAAAAAACTCTCACCTGAGGATATTTAAAAATATATATATTCTTTGTCAAGGAATTCATGGGATTAAGACACAGAAGATACAACCAATTTGCTTGTCAACCAAACAGCCAAACAGCAAAATGACCATCCGGGACCAAGCTTACCACCACTGGCACCAGGCCAGTCAAGGCAGGTGCAATGTGATTGGTCAGGGGCCCAGCCATCACCCCATGATCACCTCAAAGAGTGAGGCCCAGGCCACCACCAGCGAGCTGCAGGGGGTGGGCAGGGCCTGCCTCTGCGAGGGAAAGCTGGGTGCTGGGGGAAGGAAGGCCTACTCTCGCACAAATTTCATGCACCGGGCCTCTAGTATAATATACGAATCATAAATGTAGCTGCCAAATTTTTGAAAACATGCAAGAGGAGTGAACTTTTCTTATTGTATATCCTTTTTACCTTTTAAAGTCTGAACTATCGCCCTAGGCAGTTTGGCTCAGTGGATAGAGCGTCGGCCTGCAGATTGAAGGGTCCCAGGTTCAGTTCCAATCAAGGGCACATACCTGGTCAGGGTGATGCTCTAACCACTTAACAACCGTGGCCAGAGCAAAAATATATTAAGTAGCCATTAAGCACATGAAGAGGTGATCAACATCAGCCATTAGGGATGTGCAACTAAAGCTACAATGAGATTTCCCTACACGCCCACTAGAATGACTAAAATTCAAAAGACTGACAATCCAGATGTTGCTGAGGATATAGAACAGCTGGATTTTCTTCCATTGCTGGTGGGAGTGGAAACAGTTCGATAACTTTGGAAAACTTGGCAGTGTCTATTAAAGCTAAACGTATGACTCAGCAATTCCACTCCTAGGTGTTTACCCCAAAGAAATTTTTTTTAATGTTTGCATAAAGACTGCAAGAAAGTGCACAGCGGCTGGTTCATAATAGATCAAAGCTAGAAATTACCCAGCAGTGCAGTGGAGAAGTGAACTACAATGCATTTATTTCTTCAGCAGAAGGCTACTCAGCACCAAAGGGGAACAAACAAAAGCATTCTGTTGAGCAGAGAAACTTGACACAGGAGAATACATGCTGTCATGCTAAACGAAATAAGCCAGTCAGGGAGGAGAAGTGTATCACGTGATCTCACTCATCTGTGGAACCTAATGAACCAAATAAACTGACAGACAAAATAGACCCAGAGATGTGGAACAGACTGTGGGACCTCAGAGAGGAGGGGAGAGCGGGGAGGAGGTCAGCCAATGAGCGTGTGTGCATGTGGGCATGGCCCATGGACACAGACAATGAGGTGGCGAGCGCCTGGGGGGTAGGGGGAGGGGAGCAGCTGGAAGAGGTTAGTGGGGGGAGAGGAGGACCTACCCTGTTTCCCCAAAAATAAGACAGTATCTTATATTAATTTTTTCTCCCAAAGTTGCGCTAGGTCTTATTTTCGGAGGATGTCTTATTTTCAGGGAAACACGGTATGTATTATAGCAATTTCAACTATAAAGATTTTTTTTAAATGACTACACACTGTATGACTGACTGCCTTTCTACGTGGCCCTACAGCACAGCTGCTGGCAACCAGACCCACAGATGGGCCCCATCGAGAGAGACAGCAAATACCACGTGACCGATGTGGTTCAGAAATGTTATCTGGGTGATGTGCGCATGTCTAGTGCTACTGCAATTCATCAAATTGTATGGGTTACTTTTGCTTTTAGTACAACCACGTTTTTTAATTTTTTTCTTTATTGATTAAGGTGTTACATATCTGTCCTTACCCCTCCATTTACCCCCATCCACCCCCTCTCATGTCCTCACTCCCCTGATGTCTGTGTCCATTGGTTAGGCTTATATGTGTGCATAAAGGTCCTTTGGTTGCTCTCTCCCCCTGCCCCTCCCCTCCCCTGCCTTCCCTCTGTGGTTTGACAGTCTGATTGATGCTTCTCTGTCTCTGGATCTGTTTTTGTTGATCAGTTTATGTTGTTCATTATTTTCCACAAATGAATGAGACCATGTGATATGTAACTTTCTCTAAACGGCTTATTTCACTTAGCATAATGCTCTTCAGCTCCATCCATGCTATTGCAAAAGGTAAGAATTCCTTCTTTTTTACCGCAGCGTAGCATTCCATTGAGAACAGCCACATTTGAATGAGTGTTTGCTGCAGGCTAAGCTTGATACATAGATCATTTCATTTCAGATGGCAGTCCTGCGAGGTAATCTCTCCTCCTTCTGACAGAAGAAGCAGAGGCGCAGAGTGGCTCACCAACCCCAGCCTCTGCTTGTCTTCCGGGCGTGTGCACTCCTCACCCCCTCACTGGCCTTTCTCAGCTTCCACTCCTCTGACTGTAACCCAACGGCCTGCACTTCCTGGCCTTCGGGGCCCCTCAGTTCCCACGTGTGCCTAGCAGCTGTGCCAACCACCATCTGAGCAAAAATGTGCCCATGTGCCCCTCCTGCCGCCTCCCCGCCACAACCGTGAGCATGGTACAGATGGGTCAGTCCTGTGGGCACTGCATGGCCTCGGGGCTGGGACCTGTAACAGACCACGCGCAGGTCAAGGCCGGAGGAGGCAGGAGCCAAGGGCAAGGGAGGAAGCTGGTGTGCGGAGACCAGCGCCAACGTGAGGGTGACCGGAGCCGGAGCCGGGAGCCTGGCTCGCTCTCGGTTCCCAAGGGGCCTGCTAATGGCTGTTGCTGTGCCATTTCCCTGTTTTCATGTCAGGAACCCATTGCAACCATCTGCATGGCCACGTGATTTCTGTACTAATAAAAGGATAATATGCTAATTAGGACAAACCTGCAGCAGGCTCAGGCTGGCAGTGGCAGCAGCAGTGAGGTGATGGGGGCAGTGCCTTCCCCTGATCTGCCAGGTTGCCTCCTACAGAGGGAGGCCAGACTGTGACTTAGGCTGGGGACCAAGGCAGAGGCGGTTAGGGGCCATCAGGCCAGAAGGGGAGCAAGTTAGGGGAGATCAAGCTGACAGGCAGAGGCAGTTAGGGGTGATCAGGCAGGCAGGCAGGCGAGCGGTTAGGAGCCAGCAGTCCTGGATTGTGAGAGGGATGTCCGAGGGGTCCCAGATTAGAGAGGGTGCAGGCCAGGCTGAGGGACTCTCCCCGCCCCCCCCCCCCAGCCCTCTAGTCTCTGAGAAGAGTGGACATTTGACACTGTTTCTGGCTCCCCCGGACCATGTCTTGTTTCTTCTTACATTTTTATTTATTTTTGTTAATTTCTCTTTCTTGTTGAAAGCATGACAGAGGCCCCCTTTTCTCCCCATGGACCCTTTCTACTGCACCCCCCTCCCCTCCCCCTCCCCCTCCGCCACATCCTTGAAGCACTCTTCCCACACTCAGGGACTTTCCTGCCTTGTCCATTGCCTGCTCGAGGTTGAAACCAGAAACTTCCCCCACGGCCCCTGCAGCTGGGGCCCAAGCACGGGACCGGCGTTGTGGGTCACACACACTCAGCAAGACTTGGGTTTCGAACTAACCATTTTCTGGCCGGGACAGTGCACAGGCACCTGGCTTTCGGGTTCCCAGGATGGGATCGCTTTCTTAAAAATGAGGTTTTTTTTTTTATTTCAGAGAGGAAGGGAGAGGGAGAGAGGGACAGAAACATCTGTGATGAGGCTGGCTGGTGTGGCTCAGCGGTTGAGCATCAACCCAGGAACCAAGAGGTCGCTGGTTCCATTCCCAGTTAAGGCACATGCCCAGGTTGTGGGCTGAATCCCCAGTGGGGACGTGCAGGAGACAGCCAATTAATGACTTTCTCATCAATGTTTCTATCTCTCTACCCCTCTCCCTTCCTTTT